GGGAGGTGGGAGCGGGGGTGGTTTGAGGTTAAAACGATAAATAACTCATATAAAAACGCTCCGATCTCTCAGTTTTAATAGTTTATTGGTGTTTAATACGTTTAGTACTCTACACTGTAATCGCCTTGACGAGAGCGGCTAATCTTGTTAAGCCCTGTTCACATTAGAGATCTAGGTCGACATTGTAAATAGGATACCAAGATCTATTTTACTCCCGTGACGCTGTGGATTTATCGTAGGCCTATTTTGAATCCAGAGGTATGTTTTAAAGTCTATTATATTTGGGGAAAAATCCAAGCTCTGCTTCATTCTGTCTTCATTTGTTATCTCGGATTTCATTAAACTTGTCAACAACTGCACAACTGTGCAACCCAAAATGGATTAGACTTATGTCGTGAAAAGTATTAACCATTGATGTGTTTTGAAAAAAATATTTAACTGACTTGCACGTTCTCGATGGATCAAATTGACGGGCCTTAAATACTGAACAAAAGACATATCAACATATTGCGTACTTTGAATGAACTAACGAATGTACCTTTTTAAGATACGATCAGTAATGTCTGGAAAATTGTGTAAATGTAAAGAAGTGTAGGAGTTAGACGACTGGATAATAAAGTCTAATCAAGGTGTGAAAGAGTTTATCAGATCTTACTGTGAGATTCACCTGACCTCTGGTGACATTTATTAACATTTTTTTTTCTTCAAAATTTTGATTTATCACTATCAGCTTTCCTGTTTTTTTCTGTGTTGACTTTTGGTGGATTTTGAGTTTGTATCGTTTAGTAGGATTATGCTGTTTTTGTGCCACTGAATAGAGGTTTGTTACCCAAAATATTTTCTTTGAGGTCATTGAAACTGAAATGAAATTAAAATGAAGTTTTACGCCATACATTTAATCACTCGATTGGGCTAATAAATACAGCACCAGGCACCATGTCATAAAGAAACAAGTTGCCAGAACATTAGTTAGTTTATTCTTTCCGACTGCAACATACTGTGCATGTAGCATATCGCTTTATTTCCCGACCGAAAGACAAAAACCTTTCTCATTTCAGCATCACTGATAAACGGAATGTGGCAAACTGAAGTTAGGGGTATACTCTGAAAATAATTTTCTTTTAAAAATTGTTGAAAATCTCAGTGAAGGAACTCGGCCTTGGAAAAATCATGATTGTTTCGAAAAAAATAAAGTCACCTGTATTACTATTTCAACAGGTGAACTGTGCATAAAAAAAATGAATTGAAAATGAATGGTGTTGTACGTTACACATTTCTGCACCTAATTGGGATTATGAAAACAGGCAACACCATGCAGTGTGTGCAATGAGGGAAATTATGCAAGGACAGCGACATAAGCCTGCTTCTTTTCGAAATCCAACTCTAGGGATCTTTAACGTGCACAGCCTGTATTAAACGACTAGATGCTCTTTCCATGTGAACCCCTCTATCCTGTATCACTGACAGGGGAAATCCTGTTGAAGTGTGCTCGGAGCAATATTGTACCCCGTTGTTTTCTGTATGTTTCTAGTAAGGAAAATGTGTTTTCTGTCTGACACAATGACTAACCTTAACGAGACTTTTGTGTTTCTCACGTAGGCCTATCAAGAAATCACTTTTTAATCTTCCGATTTAAAAAAACCAAAACATTCGTAGAATGGTCTCTTTAAAGCGGGTTTGGGGGTTGATTTGAGTCTTGAATATAGAAGTATTGAGAAGTACTATAAATGTACGAAAATCGCATAATTCCTTTAAAAATATCTCAAACTAGGAATTTTACCTTTTCTATATATCACAGAGTAGCTTAAAATGAGGAGTCGTCGCATTAACATTCAAATGCGGATAATTCTGGACACGCATGGATTTGAACACTATACTGATTGTCAAAAAAAATTATTCACCTTTCCCTTTAACATTTAGGTTGAAAGTCAGGAAAGGAGGACCATATACATACATCCTCTTTACATCCCATTAACTGGTAGATTTTCTATTTCAATCTTGTAGATGTCCACCCCGTCTACGGAATGTATCTAGGTACTGCCTGTCACTAGTTTAATTAAGAATGATAAATATAAATAGCCTGAAATTTTCTAAATTGACTTTCGCCCTCATCCGTCCTGTTTTTTGTGTAAGACTCGGATGTCAAAGGCTAAATTAAAAGTTTTTTTAAAAGTTGAGTTTCCTTTCAACAACTATAGATAGTAGATGGTTCATGTGGTCGCGTGTTGTTTTGTTTTTTTGTGAGCGATTAGATACTTTGGGTTCGAATCCCCTCGATATATGATCAATGTCCCCGATCTGTGTTTGAAATGATTTGATCATGATTTTTCCAATTTTAAGTGCTCACAGCTCCCTCTGACGCACAGGTCATCTCTACATATAGCTATGAAACTCTATGACTACTCGAATACTGGTCATGGTTTTAGGTAACCATTACGTCGGCCATTGTGAAGATTCAGATTACCAATGGAGCTGCAGAAAATTCGTTTCTATATGAATTGCAGGCCTTTCTACGGCGCCCCCAGAAAAGAGGTTGGCCTGGCTTTGATCAATTTACATAGGCCTAATGAAAGCATAGCCTGTGGCCCTCCTGAAAAATTCTGTGGCCCCTGCTCGGCCCCTCATTTGATGTTCCTTAGAAACGTCACGGTGCGTATTTTTTGAAAAGGCTACGTAGTTTATTCGATATTATTGATCCTCAAATTTATTCTACAAATAAGCTCCGAAATTTAATGTACAATATTATTGGGCAAAGTTTACACAAATTTCGTATGTTTTAATATGAAAGATAGATAAGTATAACTGGTTTCAAAAGTATTACAAAGTATTTGAATTGAAGGCGTAGAAGAAATGCTATTTAAAGGGACAGGTTCACCATTTTCGGGTGTTAATTTAGGTCTTGAAAATATGTAAACTGTCTTCAGAAGTATACTAGAAATGTACAAAAATCGTATAATTCTTTCAAGAAATATCTCAAACTAGAAATTTCACTTTCTATTTCTATAAATATATGTGTTTTCTATATGAACAGTCTCGAGATATGACGAGTCGTCAAAAATTCTGAACACAAATGAATTTGAAGGCTAAAATTTCGACGTTCAGCTGTGAACACTATTACTGATTAGCTAAGCTAAACAAATTCTGGTTTCTGTACAATAGGTCAAACGAATGTCGAGTCTGTCCCTTTAAGACCACAATTCGACCGTCTCTTTAAGGTCGCGATGTCAGTAAGCCAAAATATATTAATAAATAAAAAACTTTCTTTTCTTTTATTGTTGTAAATTCCCCGAATTCCAGTAACAATAGTAAACAGCATGGTGGTTCTGTCAGTCTCGGGATGGTGTAACCTGCCCCAAGGTCGATGCTTCCTTACCCACGGGACGAAAGTCGAAATTTTTATGAGAAAGGACACCGATTCAGAGAATTTGCCTTTTTTGTTTGTAAATCGGTACGTGCAGTAAGTTAGGACAGTTTGTGTAGACTTCTGAGCATTCTGACCACAGAAAACTGTAATCGGCAATATAGCTAGTTGGAAACTTCGAAATTGAGATTGAATTTTTGATCAAAGCAATTCTTTATATTTCCACCTGATGTTGACAATGTAAATTGTTGAAACGTTGTGTACAATAAAACTCAGTGGTAGTAGACTATATAATGATAATGGCGATGTAAATTGTTGAAACGTTGTGTACAATAGGCCTATAACTCAGGAGTAGTATACTATATGAACTGATGATGATAATGTAAATTGTTGAAACGTTGTCTCCAATAAAACTCAAGAGTAGTATAAAATAAAATTGTGTTACGTTAGCTATAAATTCGGCAATGAAGAGGCTAGGGCATTCCTCACCAACCGATAATGAGTGTATTTTATCTGTAATTAGCCTAAATTCTATCAGTAATAATATTTGAGGTAATTAGACGCGCATCATAACCCGACTGTGATGTCTTAGTATCAACACAGACTAGAAAAACTATGTGATATCCAAACGATAAAACTTCTTCTTGTAACAATATTTGTTTTCTTTTCTAGATTGTTGTAATACCTAGAATTACTACATTACAAGTACCAACACAGTCACAGAACGTTTCTGGTTAATTTCTGTATCGATGCAAGTTTGAAAGCGACTGGTACTTAGAGCTTGGATATTGTCTTGGAACTTCAGAAAGCTGGTGAAACATTTCTTAACAACAGCAAACGTAAAGTTGAACCGACGCGAAACTTCAGAAAGCTGATGGAACATTTCTTATTGCCAATCGACTTAAACTTCAGACGAGAGTCGAAGTATTTTGCGAAATAAAAAAGAGAATTAAAAATTTGACTTCAACAGAATTTGAAAGAAGAATAATTCAAAAAATAACTTCAAAAAAATTTGTGGTGTTATTTATAATATTTGGTGTATTAACATAAAATATTGAAGCTAAAACGAGGAAGAAAAAAATCGTTTATTGAATGAAATATTGTGCACGGAATTGGAAAGAAAATTTGTATTTCTCTCAACTTGATACCTTTTAGTGAAACACTGATTCATTCATTAGTATTTGTATATTGTCAATTCTATTTAAACTGCAGCTGAGTTTTAAACACACTGCGAAAGGATAATTAGACGTTTGAGAAATTTTCACCTGTATAAAACATACATAGTATTAACTTGTTGAACCTGTCTAGTATATATACCTGCACGAAATTTAAACTTGTAGGCGGACGGAGTATTAACTGTGGTTTTCCGACGTTTGTTTAGAATTAATTCACCATGTGCTTTTAGAATTTAATTTTCAAATTGTAAGGTGTGTAATTATATTCAGGTAGTAGGGAGGAAATTGGATGCGAGCCGACTGAAAATTAGTTTAAAATATCAGTTTGTGACTGGAATTGAGAGTGGGAAGACTTAGGCCTACTTAGTTTTAATTTACATTTTGATTTAAAAGCATCGTTTGAGTAATAGTAAACTTATTTCTGTTTAAATTCTAGGACGAACAGGACGAACGAAACATTCAAAATGATGACTAAAATGTTAACAATTATATTCAGTGTGTTAATTGTGTTATGCTCCAGTTCTCCTGAATGTGGCCCCAATTATTTCGAGGGTGACAAATGGTTTGATGGGTGTAATTGGTGTACGTGTACGGATAATAAAGAGAAGTGTACTAACGCAACGTGTACGGAGTATCAAGATGAACTGGACAATTCCCCCTGTCAAAAACTTGGTGAATCGTGGCGAGACGGCTGTTATCACTGTCGTTGTCTACCGGATGGAATTCGATGTCGAGCGAATAAGCGATGTGTGCATGCTCTAAAATCTGACGATTTGAATTGCCCAGTCGATGGATTGTGTGTTTGTGGTTTAGACGGGGTTCCGTCTTGTAACGAACAAATCATGTCTCGGTTTTCCTTTAAAAATGTACCCGAACTTGGCCCGGACACGTCAAGCGATAAAAAACTGATCCTGAGTTCGAAAGGTGAAAATACATTGAGGCTAAATCCGGACGAGGCGGAAACTGATTTAGGTGACAAGGATTTGCACCTTATACCCACTGACGATAAATTATGTCATCTCGGTCCACGCTGGTATGGGGGCGGCCTCCGGTGTTATTGCGACCCACAGAACGGTGTCGCTTGTGGTAATCCGAGATTTATAGCTAGGAAAGTCGATGGATTTAAGATACGCAGTAAAAAATGTAGAGTGGGTAAAATCTGGGAAGAACGCTGTAGAATCTGCACGTGTAAAAAATCTGGATTATCATTGTGTCGGATTGATCGAGAGTGTACCAAAAATAAAAATATACGACATTCTGTTAAAAGTATAGTGGTTGCGGGGAATGCTGAGTGTCGGGTCGGATTGAGATGGAAAGATGGGTGTAAAAGATGTCGATGTAACAAACGAGGTAAAATTATCTGTAAAACTCGACTTTGTAATCTCTCAGATGATGGAAAGAAACTTAGTAATAAAGATAAAACGCACCGACAGACCTCAACAGGTGGGCTGATATCAAAATCTACACCTAGATTCCAGTTGCCAGAGAAACCAAGATTTAGGATGCCAAATTTAAGTCTGTATAATAATAGATTTCAGCGTAAAAAACGTCCATCAATTAAAACTGTAAATTGCAATGGGTTTAAACCGGGAGAGAAATACTGGGACAAATGTAACCTATGTCACTGTACCATGGCTGGTGCCCCGATGTGCTCTTCGAAACTATGTTGAGGACCTTTATCCAACCTTTACTCCTCCTTAAGAGGCGGTTTGGTCATCTGAAATTTCTATGTTTTTGTAAAACGTTTTGAAAGTTGGGTTGCGTCTGCAGTTAGTCTGTTAGAGTGCTGTTTACGGGTGTGAATTGTCGAACGCAAGAGCATTATTAGCGTGCTGAATGAAGTAGACGTTTTGTAGATCCGCTATAACGCAGCATGGGTCAATATTGATGGACGACTATATGATAACGTTGCTTTGATAACGTCATTTACGTTGTGTAATAATATATATGGAACGGTTTAACGCCATGAACGTTACATAGACCTTTGAAAACATCACGTATACGTTGCGAGTGATAGTCAAAACATTTAAAAGCTTAAAAAATTAAAAGCACTGCATTAAGTGGACAATATTATTAAACTGTTGATGTATAGACAATGCCCTGTTACATAATGCTTGCAATAACGTCACGTTTTGTGACATTTATTGCGTGACGGAGGTAAAAATACTAGGAACATAAATGACACGGCGTGACGTTAACGAAGAATATTTACAAAACGAAGCAATCTGTCGAAATAATAATAAATACGTTGAATGGACTGAGTTTATATTGGTGTTGGAAGAGATTATTATGTTAAATGAATGCAAGGCATTCGTAATCCCTTGTAAAAGTGTTTAAGTCGAAATGAAATGAAATGAATGAAGTTTTATGTATCGAGCTTATATTGGTTGGTTGGTTCGTTAGTGCGAACAGGGTATTAGACAATTTAGTATTCTAACATCTGCTGAAAGGTTTTTAGATTGTTTATATTGTTGAGACAGAGATGCGTCTAGAATTCAAAACAAACTCGATAAGGCATTGTGTAAGCTGGTTAAGTAGTGCCAATACATTCTGCAAATTTTTCCTCCACCACTTTGGCACCGTTTTTATGTCTGTAAAAACAAGTCAAGGTTTTATTCAATTCGGGAGTAGTGCCAATATTTTGCAGAATTCTTTACTAACAAATTGCGAAAAAATGCGGATAGAACGGGTAAAATATTTGACTTTATTAGGCCGTATGCTTGATTAATAATGATTTTATTGATTACGTTAATGGTACTTGCATCTATTTTATTTTTTGTAATATATAGATAATTGCATGATTCATTAATTATTAATTAAATTCTACCTGACAGATCATGTTATGTATAACGTCAGTATATTTTGAAAAAGCGTTGTATAACGTTTCTCTATACGTTATATATCCCGAGAAAGCTACTTTTTGGAATTTAAGGTTGTAATATTGCGGTTAAGCAATGTTACGAAAGCACAGGCACAGGCATACTTTTTGGGTTACGTATATACCTGGAAAGCATCTAGCTATGATATGGAGTATTTGTCTTTTGGCACCACCCAATTTGATTTGTAAAAGTTATCTATGGCGTTAAACTACATAATTTGAAAAAGCGTCGCATGACGTTATCGCATTTAATTTGTAAAACGTCGTATGACGTTATCATATATATATATAATTTATAATACGTCATATTATGACGTTACCAATTTTATGATTTTAAAACGCCGTGCGACGATACCCTGCATGATTTCTAAACGCGTCGTATGACGTTGCCATTTATTATTTGTAAAAGCGTCGTATGACGTTGCCATTTATTATTTGTAAAAGCGTCGTATGACGTTGCCATTTATAATTTGAAAAACGTCACATGACGTTACCATTTATGATTTGTAAATGCGTCTCATGACGTAACCATTTATTGTTTGTTATCATATTCAAGTATAATTATTTGTAAAAGCGTCGCATGGCGTTACCCCATATATTTATAGAATACGTCCGATAACGTTTTTATTTATAATTTAAAAAATGTCACAATATGTTATACCCTTTTTAATTTTTTTAAAGGGCCGTGTGACGATTGACGAAACTGTATATAATTTTGTAAAAGCCTCTATGACGTTATGATTGTAAAAGCGTCAGTAACGCTACGTTATATCAATTTACGTTACTCTTTCAGTAACGTTACTCTTTATGATTTGAAAAAGGCCTTGAGCCGCTCCACTTTTCTTCCTTATGTTTGAGAAGATATTATCCCAACTAGTCTTGTTTACTTGAACCATTTTGTTCTTATTCCTAATTATTCATAATAAACTTATGTAAATATTCGTTAAAGTTAAAATTGTTTGAATTGAAGCCAAGTAAAGATAAAGAAAATATTTTGTTTGAATGAAATGGTGTATTTATGTGGGAGTAGACGTCAAGTAGTCGAATTAAAATATAATTAGAACTCTTTAAATGAATTGAAAATTCTGATAGAGTTTTAACTTGAGACAAGTTATCTTATACTAGTAATGTTTTTGTAATCATCTCTTTGATCTTTTTGAGTTATATCTGAAGTAGCTGTTTGCTAACATATCTAGTCTAGGGAAAATTATTTCGACCCACTCCACTCATTCATAAGTCAATCGTATTCTGCACGTATTTTTGGAATACTTAAAAGGATACTACCTCTTAAAATTGACATAAGTTTTAAAGTCTCAAACTTGGTCAATAAGAGTATATATTCATCAGTTAGACTTACCAGGTACCATGACTAAAGAATAGAATCTCTATATAAGAAGATAAGATAGAAATAGAAATATTAAAACAGAAATTAAAAAAGATATATTGTTGTTACTCTGAGTTTCACGCTCTGCGATCTTTACTCAACTGACCTATATAATTCAGATGTCAATTAAACTAAATAACTATTTTAAGATTAAGTTTGTATAATTATGACACCAGTCAAGATGAACATAATCATATTTTAACAAACTTTAATTCTTGGTCATCCTAAGACCCTGGTTCCCAACCTAGGGTGTTTTCATCCCCTGGGGATGTGGGACTAAGGTGACAGGGGTGTGGCCAACTGGTGTAGGAGAAGACTTTGTTTTGAATTGAGAGAGCACCTCACATCATCACATGCTGAAAATGTGGATGAATAAGGTCCAGGTGATTGCTCCAGGGGTGTGAAGGCTGAGAAAGGTTGGGAACCACTGTCCTAAGAGGTAGTATACCTGAAATTTGCATAGATAATTTCTTATATCTTAATATTATTTGGTTAGTATATCACCTCATTTTGTAAAGTTTTTTTTATTATTTATCACTTGTCCAGTTATTTATTATGTATATATAAACCATACCAAACATATAATTGTTGTCAACATCCATTAAACGGTCAGGGTTTCGCTTTCCGTTTGACCAATCGTACTCTTACTAATGGGAATATTTTAGCTATGTTAATAAGAAGAGCTGTTATTGTAGTCAAGGTATGAGTCGAAGTTTGCAATAGCTTGAAATTGTGAAGGGGTGATACAAGAAAGGTGACTAATGCAGTCAAGGTATAAGACGAAGTTCGCAATAACTCGTCCTTCACACCTCATTATTATAATGTAAAGGACATATCAATTGACAACACAGTAGGGGGTAGGCTACACCACACTTTTAATGATTTGTATGGAAAGGTCTGTCTGCGTTTTGAACTAGTTTCAAGTGAAAGTGGGATTGGATTGTCGAAACTGTTTTAGACTTAATAGATGATTAAAGATGACAGCAATCCTACCCGCCGGGAAAGTAACTTCCGGTAGTAGTAAGATCTTACCGATACAGGAGCATACATACAGACCCGTAGCTACAGGGGAAAGGAAGGGGTGGGGGTGTTTCTGACAACCGACCAAATCCATTACTTCAACTAAACACCATACACCATTGTCTCTCCAATATAATACTTGCTCCTCCGAAAGTGCCGCTTGCGTTCAGCAACAGATTCGGCTTTACGCAAACCGTCGAGAATTGTCGAATGCTTGTAGAACTTTCAAAGTAGACCGTTTGGATTCGCTGATGATCTGTTACTTTATAACCTTGCCGACCTTGGTTCAGAAGTCATTTGTGCTGCCAGGCTACAATTAAAGACTGCTCAGGTAAATGATTCCGACTGCATGCAAAGTTATTATCGCTGTTGATGGAAATTTAAACCTTATTTTCACGCATCAGAATAAATTTGGAAGGTTGATTAATGGATTCAGCACTGTCATTTGTTAAAGCATTCGGCAATCATCGACAGTGTACGTAAAACCGAGCGCTAACGGAAGACCGTTTGATGTTAAATTGAGTCAGTTAGTCTGAATCAGAGCAAGATGAAACATGAGATAGTGAACTAAAGTGAAGTAGGTTTTAATTAGTCGTGGGTAGGGTCAAGTCAGGTTATGGGGGTGAGGACAGATCAGATTGCAGTGAGTAAATACTTCTACTTCACATCTATTTACTACCACTGTGATCAGATTCACACTTAACCCCTATTGACGTCAATGAAAACTCCTTAACTGTGGTTGAAAAGACCACGTTTACAACGATTAAGGGAGTTTTACGTCTTATTTTCTGAAAGGGAGGGCAAATTGACTGCATCTCGTTACTATCATGGTGATCAGATTCACACTTAACCCTTATTGACGTCAGTGGACACTCCTTAACAGGGGTTAAAGTGACCAAGGTGAAGAAATCTTCTACGACATCGATGTTAATAAAGTATCTTTTGAAATGGTTTTTACCCGGTTTCCCCCTGTACTGTCAGTGATGCAGGTAAGAAGGGCTGACATGGAAAAAGCTAGTCGTTCAGATGGGACAATAAACCGAGGCCCCGTGTGCTACACGCTGTGCACGTTTAAGACTCCTCGACAGTTGGTAATCGAAAAAGAGCAGGCTAATGCCGCTGTCCTGGCAAAATTCCCCTCATTGCAACCTGCATGGCGTTGCCCGTCTTCATTAGCCCACATGGTGCAGAAAAGTAGGACGTAAAACTCCATTCATTTAATTTAATTTTGAAATGGTTTTGACATGATTTTTTTTCTCTATCGTGGTCAGGGGTACCTTTGCAACTAATTGGATAACTTAACGTTCTACAGGAGGTAGACTTATCAAGGTGGAGAAATTTTTCATAAAGGAACTTTTGAAATGGAGTTTCACATCCCTGTACTCTTTCTCAATCCAAAGGTAGAGTGGGTAGGGCCTACTACCTCACTAGAAAATGTTTTCCCAATTTTCACTGCAGCAATTTGTCACTGGACCCAAATTTACAGCGGTCCAATGACGGAGACTAAACCATCTACATTCATTTAATTCTGGTCAGCGGGAGATCAACCCCACCCAAAAACACCAAGAAAGTAACTTTTTCTAATATAGACTTTTTTGAGGGGCGCCATGGGGGGGATTTTTCATTACTATTCAGTCGATTTCAGGATCTTACAAATCCCACCTAAACCCAAGGGAAGTAACTCTATAGAAGTTAAGGTCAATGAATTAGCTCGCATTTTATTTAAAGATCCTCTTCTTTTCTCTCTTTTAAGGTTTTCGCATGCCTATTTTTGACTAATTTTTTTATAATTATCTAGATTTGGAAATTGAACTTCATTTCAGATCAGATTTTGGAAGATGATGAGATTAGCGACGTTATTGATACTATAGTAGATTGGGTACTTCTTCAATGAGGGAGATTGTTGCGGCATTAGCCTGCTTTTTTCGAAATTCCTACTGTCGATGGATCTTTAACGTGGAACTCAGCAGTGGAAGCCTGTAGTACACGGAGCCTCAGTTTATTATCCCATCCAAACGACTAGACGCATGTAATGCAACTTTATATCTTACTGTTTTGTTGCTTATTGCGCTAATGAAATGAAATGGCGTTTTATATATCATTGTATGTGGTTTATCAATCTATCTAAATCAAACATTATTTTACATAATCTGAAGGTAGATTCCAAATCAGCATTTTACATTAACTAAACACTCCAATGTTATTGAAGGTCAAGGTCAAAATAACAACAATGGCTGCCCGAACGATCGGGCGAGCGACAGTTCGAGCTGTAACTGGCAAAAAGTTGATTCCAACAAAAGCTCCGATAGTTTTGGTAATGTAGAATTGTTGGATTTTTCACTTTCTTTCGGTCTACCTTCAGTTAAAGACAAAAAGGACGTTCAGGTTTTAGTTTTCTTGTGTTTTTAGTTGTCCTTTCTTATGTAACTAGAAAACATTTGGACTTGAAATTGAATGTTGTCATTACATCAAGCCGAGCTCGGCAAGGTTGAGCATGTCAAAAACGCATGTCAAAAATCTAATCTGACCCTTGATCAGCTATCTCTTGAACAGACAGACTTTTCAGATGAGAACAGAGGCTGTTTGACTTAAGGCTATTGTCTAAGCAAAGTAAAGAGTTTTCTTGACTTTTTTCAAATATTTATATGAAAATTGATTGGAATAGCAGACTTAAAGGGGCATTCCGCTTGTTTGTAAACCATTTTCATTGTCAAAAACATTGTATATTATACCTGAAAATATTTCTATGCTATGCTATTTACATCTATGTATCTACTTGATCAAACTGAATTTGTTTTAAAAGGGTTAAAATCTGAGAATACTAATTGTTAATTAAGCAGTTTGACCTAATTTTGGTGATTGGCTCGATATATTAAGTTGAAATCTTTAGAAAACGTAGGAGACATATTTCTTTTCTCTTCAATTATTCAAATCTGTACAGTTTCTAACTCAGCTAGCAAACAGGATAACGAACATTAAAAGGTTACGTAAACTTTTATGTAAAGTTTTGGCATTAAAAACGTCAGGATTTTTCTTGATACTTTATGGGAGACATTTCTATAGATTTTGGTTTATAGTTTTCACTAATTTGAAGAAAATTTTTTTCAACCGGCAAACAATATTGAAAGATAGCTTGCCAGGCAAGGTAACATACGCCCACTGGCAGCTGTCAGAAATGATTAAACAGTCTTTAGTGACTACAGGGTTGCACAATATAGCTAATAGAGTGAAACGTCAAGTCAGACACGATATTTCGGTGAAATATTATCCGATCATCGCGAAAATCGATAGGGATCATCTTCATAATGACATTGACATACAAAATAAAAATCAAAAGAATCTGTAAACAATTGTAGCCTGAAGAGTGAGCACGAGTTGCACAATATAGCTAATAGAGTAAAACGTCAGGTCAGACACGATATTTCGGTGAAAAATTATCCGATCATCATGAAAATCGATAGATCAACATGAAAATCAATAGGGATCATCTTCATAACGACATAGACATACAAAATAAAAATCAAAAGAATCTGTAAAGAATTGTAGCCTGTAGAGTGAGCACAAGTTGCACAATATAGCTAATAGAGTAAAACGTCAAGTCAGACACAATATTTCGGTGAAAAATTATCCGATCATCACGAAAATCAGTAGGGATCATCTTCATAACAACATTGACATACAAAATAAAAATCAAAAGAATCTGTAAAAAATTGTAGCCTGTAGAGTGAGCACGAGTTGCACAATATAGCTAATAGAGTAAAACGTCAGGTCAGACACGATATTTCGGTGAAAAATATC